AGCACTATGCAAATCCCTTTTTCGTCCTTCATAAACATGAGATTTAGGCTCCGTTCGTTTCCGGAAAAATATTTTTTCGGAAAACATTTTCCGCGTTTTCTGGTGTTCGGAAAACATTTTCCTTCCCCACCCCCAAATCCTTCATTGTTTTGAGGAAAATGATTTAGGCTCCGTTCGTTTGGCGGAAAATATTCTCCTTTTGGAAAATATTTTTCCGGAAGTCATTTTCCTGGAAAATGTTTTTCCGGAACATAATTTTCCGGTGTTCGGTGATCAATATGAAAAAGTTTCGGAAAATATTTTTCGCCGGCGGCGGGCGGCCGAGTCAGGGGACCCGGTCCGATTCGGCGTTCCGACCCACCCAGTGAACCCTTTTTTCTATTTCTTTCTAAATTTTTTATTCCTTTTTCCTATTTTCCCCCTTTTTTAAAATTCTTTCCTTTTATGTTTTTGTTTTTCCTTTTCTATTTTATCTCTTTCCCCTTTTCTGGGCTTCTTCCTTGCACGTGATCTTCTTTCCTGAACTTCTTCACCGAGACTTCATCACCGAGGCCACGCCGGGGACATCTCTTTACCTCGGACCGTCCTCGTCGGTGGGCTCCTTCGCTCAAGTCCCTCATCCAATTTTACGTTGCAGATTTGGGCTTCCAAAATCTCATATCCATAGAGAAGCATAGTTTACAAAATTCAGACAACTCCAGTTCAAGAAGTCTAGAGTACAATGTCCGTGCGATATATTGATGTTGGTCCCATTATACAAATTGCGTAAATCTCCATAAACCTTTCTCTTTCTCTTCTATGTTAGGTCTAAGAAGATTTTTTATTAACGTGCAATATCCGTGCGACATTCGTGCAATGTCCGTGCGATATATGTACAACACAAGTTTTGGACTAAATCTAGAGTGAAATTAACACTAATATCTAGTGAAATTAAGCTAAAAATTGATTTATGAACATTTCCTAATTTTATGGATTTTTGGAATTTTTGGAATTTTTAAATATTTAATTAATTAATAAAAAAAGACTCCGGACCGGGTTAGGGGACCCGGTCCGATTCGGCGTTCCGATTCTGAGTTTAAATTTAAACCTTTGACACATGGCCACTTAGTGCTGCAAATGACACGATGTCATGTATCACTAACCATTCAAAGATTTTACCATGTCGAACAGTTATCTAGAATCAATTGGCAATTGAAACTTCAAGGTTACCAGCGATTTCACTAATAGCTCGCCTAGCACAAAGATCCAGTTTAATGTCCACGATCGTGGTCCGCACAATCTCGTATCCATAGTCGGACATAGCCTGCAAAATTATAAGAACTCCCGTTCGGATTATCTCTCTTAATAATATCAAGAAGTCTAGAGTGGACAACCTTTCCGAGCTCTTTCTCAACAGCTTCGGCGATTTCATTCTTCCGCTCAAAAGCAACATCCGCGTTTAGCTTTGCGACACTAGCTCTGATCACTGCATTGATTGAAACAACAAAAACAGGAATGCAATAGTTGTTGCTTTCTCTAAGTGTTAATTGAAGGACTAGAGTATTTTACTTGCACATGAAAATTATACAAATTTGGAAGGTCATTTGGCATATACCACTGATCACATAGGTCTCCATCTGACTCCTCGGGTTGCTCAGCTGGTAAAAGGCATCGATTGCTTTGTCTACAAGGGGTAATCGGCAAGGACTTCTTCGACATAGTCATCATGTCCCAATATTTCAACTCCATGTCAGAAATAGGCGGAAAGTCAAAATCCCCGGTTCTGTTCATTTCGCAAGGTCCCGAAGCCATGCGAGAGGAGACCGCAAAGATGCACGATGGTCTTCTTGAAGCGTCCACGTCCACACAAAAGTGATAGTGCTAAGTTGGCGGAAATATATTTTGAATTGAAGATTTTTTTCTTCCCCTGTTTCCCCTATTTTGCTGGCCTTGATGTTGGTCCCATTATACAAATTGCATAAATCTCCATAAACCTTTCTCTTTCTCTTCTATGTTAGGTCTAAGAAGATTTTTTATTAACGTGCAATGTCCGTGCGACATTCGTACAATGTCCGTGCGATATATGTACAACATAAGTTTTGGACTAAATCTAGAATGAAATTAACACCAATATCTAGTGAAATTAAGCCAAAAACTGATTTATGAACATTTTCTAATTTTTTGGATTTTTGGAATTTTTTTAATATTGTTTAATATTTAATTAATTAATAAAAAAGACTTCGGACCGGGTCAGGGGACCCGGTCCGATTCGGCGTTCCGACCCGCCCAGTGAACCCCTTTTTTCTATTTATTTTCTAAATTTTTTATTCCTTTTTCCTATTTTCCCCCTTTTTTAAAATTCTTTCCTTTTATGTTTTTGTTTTTCCTTTTCTATTTTATCTCTTTCCCCTTTTCTGGGCTTCTTCCTTGCACGTGATCTTCTTTCCTGAACTTCTTCACCGAGACTTCATCACCGAGGCCACGCCGGGGACATCTCTTTACCTCGGACCGTCCTCGTCGGTGGGCTCCTTCGCTCAAGTCCCTCATCCAATTTTACGTTGCAGATTTGGGCTTCCAAAATCTCACATCCATAGAGAAGCATAGTTTACAAAATTCAGACAACTCCAGTTCAAGAAGTCTAGAGTACAATGTCCGTGCGATATATTGATGTTGGTCCCATTATACAAATTGCGTAAATCTCCATAAACCTTTCTCTTTCTCTTCTATGTTAGGTCTAAGAAGATTTTTTATTAACGTGCAATATCCGTGCGACATTCGTGCAATGTCCGTGCGATATATGTACAACACAAGTTTTGGACTAAATCTAGAGTGAAATTAACACTAATATCTAGTGAAATTAAGCTAAAAATTGATTTATGAACATTTCCTAATTTTATGGATTTTTGGAATTTTTGGAATTTTTAAATATTTAATTAATTAATAAAAAAGACTCCGGACCGGGTTAGGGGACCCGGTCCGATTCGGCGTTCCGATTCTGAGTTTAAATTTAAACCTTTGACACATGGCCACTTAGTGCTGCAAATGACACGATGTCATGTATCACTAACCATTCAAAGATTTTACCATGTCGAACAGTTATCTAGAATCAATTGGCAATTGAAACTTCAAGGTTACCAGCGATTTCACTAATAGCTCGCCTAGCACAAAGATCCAGTTTAATGTCCACGATCAGGGTCCGCACAATCTCGTATCCATAGTCGGACATAGCCTGCAAAATTATAAGAACTCCCGTTCGGATTATCTCTCTTAATAATATCAAGAAGTCTAGAGTGGACAACCTTTCCGAGCTCTTTCTCAACAGCTTCGGCGATTTCATTCTTCCGCTCAAAAGCAACATCCGCGTTTAGCTTTGCGACACTAGCTCTGATCACTGCATTGATTGAAACAACAAAAACAGGAATGCAATAGTTGTTGCTTTCTCTAAGTGTTAATTGAAGGACTAGAGTATTTTACTTGCACATGAAAATTATACAAATTTGGAAGGTCATTTGGCATATACCACTGATCACATAGGTCTCCATCTGACTCCTCGGGTTGCTCAGCTGGTAAAAGGCATCGATTGCTTTGTCTACAAGGGGTAATCGGCAAGGACTTCTTCGACATAGTCATCATGTCCCAATATTTCAACTCCATGTCAGAAATAGGCGGAAAGTCAAAATCCCCGGTTCTGTTCATTTCGCAAGGTCCCGAAGCCATGCGAGAGGAGACCGCAAAGATGCACGATGGTCTTCTTGAAGCGTCCACGTCCACACAAAAGTGATAGTGCTAAGTTGGCGGAAATATATTTTGAATTGAAGATTTTTTTCTTCCCCTGTTTCCCCTATTTTGCTGGCCTTGATGTTGGTCCCATTATACAAATTGCATAAATCTCCATAAACCTTTCTCTTTCTCTTCTATGTTAGGTCTAAGAAGATTTTTTATTAACGTGCAATGTCCGTGCGACATTCGTACAATGTCCGTGCGATATATGTACAACATAAGTTTTGGACTAAATCTAGAATGAAATTAACACCAATATCTAGTGAAATTAAGCCAAAAACTGATTTATGAACATTTTCTAATTTTTTGGATTTTTGGAATTTTTTAATATTGTTTAATATTTAATTAATTAATAAAAAAGACTTCGGACCGGGTCAGGGGACCCGGTCCGATTCGGCGTTCCGACCCGCCCAGTGAACCCCTTTTTTCTATTTATTTTCTAAATTTTTTATTCCTTTTTCCTATTTTCCCCCTTTTTTAAAATTCTTTCCTTTTATGTTTTTGTTTTTCCTTTTCTATTTTATCTCTTTCCCCTTTTCTGGGCTTCTTCCTTGCACGTGATCTTCTTTCCTGAACTTCTTCACCGAGACTTCATCACCGAGGCCACGCCGGGGACATCTCTTTACCTCGGACCGTCCTCGTCGGTGGGCTCCTTCGCTCAAGTCCCTCATCCAATTTTACGTTGCAGATTTGGGCTTCCAAAATCTCACATCCATAGAGAAGCATAGTTTACAAAATTCAGACAACTCCAGTTCAAGAAGTCTAGAGTACAATGTCCGTGCGATATATTGATGTTGGTCCCATTATACAAATTGCGTAAATCTCCATAAACCTTTCTCTTTCTCTTCTATGTTAGGTCTAAGAAGATTTTTTATTAACGTGCAATATCCGTGCGACATTCGTGCAATGTCCGTGCGATATATGTACAACACAAGTTTTGGACTAAATCTAGAGTGAAATTAACACTAATATCTAGTGAAATTAAGCTAAAAATTGATTTATGAACATTTCCTAATTTTATGGATTTTTGGAATTTTTGGAATTTTTAAATATTTAATTAATTAATAAAAAAGACTCCGGACCGGGTTAGGGGACCCGGTCCGATTCGGCGTTCCGATTCTGAGTTTAAATTTAAACCTTTGACACATGGCCACTTAGTGCTGCAAATGACACGATGTCATGTATCACTAACCATTCAAAGATTTTACCATGTCGAACAGTTATCTAGAATCAATTGGCAATTGAAACTTCAAGGTTACCAGCGATTTCACTAATAGCTCGCCTAGCACAAAGATCCAGTTTAATGTCCACGATCAGGGTCCGCACAATCTCGTATCCATAGTCGGACATAGCCTGCAAAATTATAAGAACTCCCGTTCGGATTATCTCTCTTAATAATATCAAGAAGTCTAGAGTGGACAACCTTTCCGAGCTCTTTCTCAACAGCTTCGGCGATTTCATTCTTCCGCTCAAAAGCAACATCCGCGTTTAGCTTTGCGACACTAGCTCTGATCACTGCATTGATTGAAACAACAAAAACAGGAATGCAATAGTTGTTGCTTTCTCTAAGTGTTAATTGAAGGACTAGAGTATTTTACTTGCACATGAAAATTATACAAATTTGGAAGGTCATTTGGCATATACCACTGATCACATAGGTCTCCATCTGACTCCTCGGGTTGCTCAGCTGGTAAAAGGCATCGATTGCTTTGTCTACAAGGGGTAATCGGCAAGGACTTCTTCGACATAGTCATCATGTCCCAATATTTCAACTCCATGTCGAAATAGGCGGAAAGTCAAAATCCCCGGTTCTGTTCATTTCGCAAGGTCCCGAAGCCATGCGAGAGGAGACCGCAAAGATGCACGATGGTCTTCTTGAAGCGTCCACGTCCACACAAAAGTGATAGTGCTAAGTTGGCGGAAATATATTTTGAATTGAAGATTTTTTTCTTCCCCTGTTTCCCCTATTTTGCTGGCCTTGATGTTGGTCCCATTATACAAATTGCATAAATCTCCATAAACCTTTCTCTTTCTCTTCTATGTTAGGTCTAAGAAGATTTTTTATTAACGTGCAATGTCCGTGCGACATTCGTACAATGTCCGTGCGATATATGTACAACATAAGTTTTGGACTAAATCTAGAATGAAATTAACACCAATATCTAGTGAAATTAAGCCAAAAACTGATTTATGAACATTTTCTAATTTTTTGGATTTTTGGAATTTTTTAATATTGTTTAATATTTAATTAATTAATAAAAAAGACTTCGGACCGGGTCAGGGGACCCGGTCCGATTCAGCAATCCGACCCGCCCAGTGAACCCCTTTTTTCTATTTATTTTCTAAATTTTTTATTCCTTTTTCCTATTTTCCCCCTTTTTTAAAATTCTTTCCTTTTATGTTTTTGTTTTTCCTTTTCTATTTTATCTCTTTCCCCTTTTCTGGGCTTCTTCCTTGCACGTGATCTTCTTTCCTGAACTTCTTCACCGAGACTTCATCACCGAGGCCACGCCGGGGACATCTCTTTACCTCGGACCGTCCTCGTCGGTGGGCTCCTTCGCTCAAGTCCCTCATCCAATTTTACGTTGCAGATTTGGGCTTCCAAAATCTCACATCCATAGAGAAGCATAGTTTACAAAATTCAGACAACTCCAGTTCAAGAAGTCTAGAGTACAATGTCCGTGCGATATATTGATGTTGGTCCCATTATACAAATTGCGTAAATCTCCATAAACCTTTCTCTTTCTCTTCTATGTTAGGTCTAAGAAGATTTTTTATTAACGTGCAATATCCGTGCGACATTCGTGCAATGTCCGTGCGATATATGTACAACACAAGTTTTGGACTAAATCTAGAGTGAAATTAACACTAATATCTAGTGAAATTAAGCTAAAAATTGATTTATGAACATTTCCTAATTTTATGGATTTTGGAATTTTTGGAATTTTTAAATATTTAATTAATTAATAAAAAGACTCCGGACCGGGTTAGGGGACCCGGTCCGATTCGGCGTTCCGATTCGAGTTTAAATTTAAACCTTTGACACATGGCCACTTAGTGCTGCAAATGACACGATGTCATGTATCACTAACCATTCAAAGATTTTACCATGTCGAACAGTTATCTAGAATCAATTGGCAATTGAAACTTCAAGGTTACCAGCGATTTCACTAATAGCTCGCCTAGCACAAAGATCCAGTTTAATGTCCACGATCAGGGTCCGCACAATCTCGTATCCATAGTCGGACATAGCCTGCAAAATTATAAGAACTCCCGTTCGGATTATCTCTCTTAATAATATCAAGAAGTCTAGAGTGGACAACGTTTCCGAGCTCTTTCTCAACAGCTTCGGCGATTTCATTCTTCCGCTCAAAAGCAACATCCGCGTTTAGCTTTGCGACACTAGCTCTGATCACTGCATTGATTGAAACAACAAAAACAGGAATGCAATAGTTGTTGCTTTCTCTAAGTGTTAATTGAAGGACTAGAGTATTTTACTTGCACATGAAAATTATACAAATTTGGAAGGTCATTTGGCATATACCACTGATCACATAGGTCTCCATCTGACTCCTCGGGTTGCTCAGCTGGTAAAAGGCATCGATTGCTTTGTCTACAAGGGGTAATCGGCAAGGACTTCTTCGACATAGTCATCATGTCCCAATATTTCAACTCCATGTCAGAAATAGGCGGAAAGTCAAAATCCCCGGTTCTGTTCATTTCGCAAGGTCCCGAAGCCATGCGAGAGGAGACCGCAAAGATGCACGATGGTCTTCTTGAAGCGTCCACGTCCACACAAAATTGATAGTGCTAAGTTGGTGGAAATATATTTTGAATTGAAGATTTTTTCTTCCCCTGTTTCCCCTATTTTGCTGGCCTTGATGTTGGTCCCATTATACAAATTGCATGAATCTCCATAAACCTTTCTCTTTCTCTTCTATGTTAGGTGTAAGAAGATTTTTTATTAACGTGCAATGTCCGTGCGACATTCGTGCAATGTCCGTGCGATATATGTACAACATAAGTTTTGGACTAAATCTAGAATGAAATTAACACCAATATCTAGTGAAATTAAGCCAAAATCTGATTTATGAACATTTTCTAATTTTTTGGATTTTTGGAATTTTTTAATATTTTTTAATATTTAATTAATTAATAAAAAAGACTCCGGACCGGGTTAGGGGACTCGGTCCGATTCGGCGTTCCGACCCGCCCAGTGAACCCCTTTTTTCTATTTATTTTCTAAATTTTTTATTCCTTTTTCCTATTTTCCCCCTTTTTTAAAATTTTTTCCTTTTATGTTTTTGTTTTTCCTTTTTTATTTTATCTCTTTCCCCTTTTCTGGGCTTCTTCCTTGCACGTGATCTTCTTTCCTGAACTTCTACACCGAGACTTCATCACCGAGGCCACGCCGGGGACATCTCTTTACCTCGGACCATCCTCGTCAGAGAACTCCAGTTCAAGAAGTCTAGAGTACAATGTCCGTGCGATATATTGATGTTGGTCCCATTATACAAATTGCGTAAATCTCCATAAACCTTTCTCTTTCTCTTCTATGTTAGGTCTAAGAAGATTTTTTATTAACGTGCAATATTCGTGCGACATTCGTGCAATGTCCGTGCGATATATGTACAACACAAGTTTTGGACTAAATCTAGAGTGAAATTAACACTAATATCTAGTGAAATTAAGCCAAAAATTGATTTATGAACATTTCCTAATTTTATGGATTTTTGGAATTTTTGGAATTTTTAAATATTTAATTAATTAGTAAAAAAGACTCCGGACCGGGTCAGGGGACCCGGTCCGATTCGGCATTCCGACCCGCTTGGTGAACCCCCTTTTTTCTATTTCTTTTCTAAATTTTTATTCCTTTTTCCTATTTTCCCCCTTTTTTAAAATTTTTTCCTTTTATGTTTTTCTTTTTCCTTTTCTATTTTATCTCTTCCCCGGCTTCTTCCTTGCACGTGATCTTCTTCCCTGAACTTCTTCACCGAGACTACATCACCGAGGCCACGCCAGGGACATCTCTTTACCTCGGACTGTCCTCGTCGACGGGCTCCTTCGCTCAAGTCCCTCATCCAATTTTACATTGTCGATTTGGGTTTCCAGAATCTCATATTCATAGAGAAGCAGAGTTTACAAAATTTAAAACACTCCAGTTCAAGAAGTCTAGAGTGGACAACCTCTTGCATTTCTGGTGTAATAGCTTGGGAAATTACACCTCTCTGCTGAGAAACTAAAATTTTCAGACTATTTGTGGGTTGCAATGAAGAGGAAAGCTGAAGGGGAGGCTGAGTTCAAGAAACTCTCTAGGGGGAATGTTGCTCGCCAGAGTCAGGCCATCGTGGATGCTGCAAGGACATCTCAAGGAAAATACCAGTGGTAACCAAGGACTTCTTCAACATAGTCCTCATGTTCCAATATTTTGACTCCATGTCAGAAACAGGCGAAAAGTCAAAATCCTCGGTGCTGTTCATTCCGTAAGGTCCTGGAGCCATGCGAGAGGTGACGCCAAAGATGCACGATGGTCTTCTTGAAGCGTCCACATCCATACAAACGTGTGTTGAAAAACAAGAACGATGAAGACGTATTTTTGGGGCAATTTTTTTCATCTTCCTTCACATTGTACATATATGCATTTATCATACAAAAAAGGAAAGAATAAGTAAGATTACAGCGATTACACTCTCCTACTTTATCTCCGAGTATCCTTGATTGAATCAATTCAAATCAAGGTTAAAGATAAAATCGTATCTTTCTCCAACACTCCCCCTCAAGTTGGTGCATAGATATCTTGGATGCCCAACTTGTCAAGTGAACTGTAAAAGATCTTACTCGATACAGCCTTCGTTAGTATATTCGCTAGTTGATCTTCCGATTTTACATACGGAAACCGAACCACTTTGGTATCCAGGTTCTGCTTAATGAAATGACGATCTACCTCAATATGTTTTGTATGATCATGCTGAACAGGATTATGAGATATATCGATGGCTGCCTTGTTGTCGCAAAACAACTTCATCTCGGACATAGGAGTATAACCGAGTTCTGTCATTAATCTCTGAAGCCATAGAAGTTCGCAAAGACCTTTGTGCATCCCCCTGAATTCTGCTTCCGCACTTGATAATGCTACAACATTTTGCTTCTTGCTTCTCCAAGTAACTAAGTTTCCTCCGACAAAAGTAAAATATCCTGAAGTTGACCTCCTATCAGATACACTCCCAGCCCAGTCAGCATCCGTAAACCCCTCAATTTCAAGGTGTCCATTCTTCAAAAAACGAATTCCTCTTCCTGGAGCTCCCCTCAAGTAGCGCAGTATTCTTATCACAGCATCCATATGATCTTCACTAGGGGCGTGCATGAACTGACTAACAACACTCACAGCATAAGCAATATCAAGTCGAGTATGCGATAGATAAATTAATTTTCTCACCAACCTTTGATACCTTTCTTTGTTAGTTGGTATCTGATCTAGATACTCCCTAAGTCTATGGTTCTGTATAACTGGAGTGTCTGCAGGCTTACAATCTAGCATCCCTACTTCCGCTAATAAGTCCAACACGTACTTCTTTTGCGAGAGAAATATTCCACCTTTAGATCGTGCCACTTCTATTCCTAGGAAGTACTTCAGTCCCCCTAGGTTTTTCATCTCAAATTCTAAGGACAGTATTTCTTGGAGTTTAGAGATTTCCTCTGAATCGTCCCCTGTAATAATCATATC